TGTTAGATTTTGGCTAAAGTTTTCTTCTTCTTCTGCCTTTTTAACCCCCAATGGAGCATAGGCCCTTAACCAACTCACACCAAGTGTTTCTATCCTTTGCTATCGCATGCAGCTCTCTTCATGTCCTCCCTATCTTTTTATCTTCACTCTCCATCTCCCTTCGTTAGATTTTTAGTCTTCCTTTTTTTCTATGCCCCTGTGGGTTCCTGTGCAAAGATATTCTAGTTATATTGTTTTCAGGTTTTCTCAACGTGTGCTCTATCCAACGCAAAGGTATTTTCTTCACCTTTTTGTCCCCTGGAGCCAGTTTAGTTCTCTCCGAAAGCTCTACATTAGTGATTCTATCATACCATTTAATTCTTAACGAAAGTTACTTGTGACAATTTTTTCTTTTCCAATTTAGATATTTAAAAAAATTAACTTACTTTTATAAAACAGTTCTAAAATTTTTTTTCCCTATTAAATTAAGTTTTACTTCCTTACTTATGTTACTTAAAAACAGAAAGGTAGAAAGGTCATTATGCCCCAGTGGCCTATCATAACATAATGCAAGTGTCATTTTAAGTAGATCAATGGGCAATTTATAGGTGATCTGATAGAAAGGATGTTGGTCACCTTTACTTCCCAGGACGTTACATAGTACCAGCTTTAAGCTGGGTTCGACCTTGCAGTCAAGGTCAATTTTGAAGAATATAAAGTGTTTCAAATCGGATTGTTCTTCATTGTGTTCACGGCTGTACACTTGGCGAAAAGTTCTGGCTGTTTCTGGACAAGAAAACTCCTAACATAAACATTCCTTGGCGACAGCACTGACACTGTGACCCTAGACCCACAGGCTCAAAGACCCCTCTTCCCCACCCCCCTTTGCCCACATCGAAGAAGTGGTAAATAAAAGCAGTAATGGCAGTTTAAACAGTCATTTTTGACGTTTTACATTATATTTTCTGCGTATATATTGAATAGGTATGGTGAGAGAATGCACCCCTGCCTCACTCCCATTTGCACCTCGAACCAATCCGATGTTTCACCAGCTGCTCTGATGGCTGCTTGTTGTTCATGATAAAGATTTTCAATTAACTGCACTAAATGCACTGGAAACCTCATTATTCTCATAATAGTCCACAGTTTCTGATGTTGGACACAATTAAATGCCTTGCTATAATCAATGAAACAGGCATGAAGATCTTCCTTGTATTCTCTGCATTTTTCAAAAATTATTCTCGTATTAAAGATGTGATCCCTAGTTCTTCCTACCTTGTCTGAAACCAGCTTGTGCTTCATGTAGCTCATATTGTAATTTCCTTCCAATCCTCTTCATGATAATTCGTAAAAGGATTTTGCTAGCATGACTTAATAATGCGATTGTACTGTAGTTGGTGCATAGTTTCAGATTTATTTTCTTTTGGAGAGGGATATAAATTGTTCTTTTCCACGCTTCAGGCCAAATGCCACTGTTCCAGATCTTTGTGCACAGTGCATAGTAGATTCGGACGGTGGCCTCTCCTCCTGCATGAATTAGTTCTGCTGGTATTCCGTCGCAACCTGGTTACTTTCCTTTCTTCAGGCTGTATATTGCTGATCGTACCTCATCCAGTAAAGGCTCTGGTTCTTTTTCATAACTGTCATAAGTTGTTTTTGAATGTCTTGTCAGATCCTCATACATTTTTCTACAGTATTCTTTCCATCTTTCTAATATGTCTTTGGTTTCCTTTAATGTGTTACCGTTTAACTACTGAACGTAAAATTTGCATAGAAAAACCACAACTGCAAAAAAAAAAAAAAAAAAAAAAAAAAAAATGCTAGGGTTGGTTCTGCAACGTTCTGTAAAGGATACGCAACTAGCTGATAAAAACCTACTTGTTACAGAGAGGAGTATCAAACCCTGCCAGCAGATGCTTGAGCTTGTAGTCATAGGCAAACTTGAACAATGTCTTTTGCATGGCAGATAATGAGTTCACATTCTCCCAGACATTCTTGTAAATTCTGTCCATGATTACCTGGGCAGAACATGTTCAGAGAGGAAGACCAAATTTTCAGAAAGTAGGAAGACTGTTCAAATGATGAGTAAAAGTAAAAGTAAAGGGCCCTTTTCCACACCTTTAGTCGTTTCGGGCATATATGGGTTGACCTGTATTTTATTGACCAATCGGCACTTGGATGTTGATGTGGTCAGCTTCACATGAACCGGCTTTACTTTCCAGGACTGCACCTGGTACCCATGAAAGGTTGGGTCGACATGTGAGCCAGTGTCATTGTTCATGTAATACTTCAAGATATTTAGTCAGCTGCCATGGTGTAATTGTTGGTATATATCGGCTTGTCCTTTGTCCTCTGATTTTTTTTATACTTCATCAATAATAATAATAATAATAATAATAATAATAATAATAGCCCTAATAATAATAATAACTCTGATAATAATAATAATAATAATAGCCCTAATAATAATAATAACTCTAATAATAATAATAATAATAATAACTCTGATAATAATAATAATAGCCCTAATAATAATAATAACTCTAATAATAATAATAATAATAATAATAACTCTAATAATAATAATAATAATAACTCTAATAATAATAATAATAATAGTAATAACAAATTTCCCCTCCCAATTTACTGATTTGGGTGTTTGAGGCATGCATATTGTTCTGGTTCTAGTTTTTCTTACTGCTTTCACTATAGACACAAAGTGTTGGTGTAGTTTTTCTGATGTTATCTATCCATATTGTTCTTTACGTACCCTGTGCTCTACGTCCTTCTGTTTTGACAAATGCCTCGCGTATTATCTAGCCCTAAGTCATTCTCTCTGAGTGAACTAGTCCGTTTACATCTCACTGCATTCTCTGTAGCGGTAATAAATTGTCCGCTGACCTGCTAGGCTTGTCTCAACCTAATCAGAACGACGTTGAGAAAGACGTTTACGGCGCGACACTGAATAGTCTTGATGACAACCGTATCTATCGGTAAATCACAAACCCTTTCTGTATTTCTTGTGTTTATTATAAATAAAGTATTAACTCCTTCCAACCCGTGACCACTCCACGCTTGAATTTTCATTCACCATTATAACTCTTTTTTTTTTTAATGTAAAGGTCGCATTGCGGTCCAGGTTAATGTGCATTTCTTTCTTTATTTTGACAATCAGTAAAACTAAACTTTCGCGGGAGTTATATCCCTATAAAAATTCTTTCCATTTTAACATTCAGAGCACGTGACTAACACTTTAGCCACTTTGCCACAGAATCTCCACACCCACGGAAAAAGGGGTGACAGTGCTACTGTCTTAAAAACAAAAATTATGTTCATCATCGTCACTGCCTGCTGTGCTAATATTTGTCACATATGGCTCGTTAGCTATTCCCTCCATTTCTTTCTATCTTGTACAATCACTATAATATCACAGATGGAAACCAGTCCAGCACCTTTGGCCTCTTCCATCAGTATTCCTCACTTCCTCAGTTTCTTGACTTCCCATTGTATTGCCTGTCCGGGGATTTTCTGCTCGTTTATTCTCAATATGTGTACAATATAAGGCCATATTCTTTATTTTAAAATTGTAGTTCCCAATGGTTTCCCATACATTTGTTTTATTTCGCAATCCCTCTTTAAGTAATCTTATTTTAGTATAATTCTTTTCAGGAATTTGTTTTCAAATGCGTTTACTTTTCGTTTAATGTCTTCAGTGGAATTACCAGGATCCAGTGGAATGTGGAACATATGGTACAGAGTGCTAGAAATATCACATTGCATAAGCCTAGGGACAATTGCTAAGTAACGAGAAGGAAAAATACTTACTGGGACCGCTGCTATCAGAGTTGGTTGGAGCACAGTAACGTCTCCATGGCAGCCTCTCTTGACTCTGGTCGACTGAAACATTGGAGAGATCAGGTATCAGCGTCTATCTCACAATATAGACAGCATCTTTTATATTATCACCACCAGCTACACCATAAGCACCATCATCATCATTATTATAATTCTTCTTCTTCTTTCGTTCGCTTGAAATAGGTGATCTATATCTGCAATGTTGTCTCTAGTATGAATCTCACTGACTTTTGGAATTCACTCAGCGACCCGTGAAGTTTGACTTGCACCGATGTTTCTCTTGGCCAAAAGTTTTGGCTTGATGTACTCTGTTTGGGACAGTCTTGAGGGTCATAGAGAATTATTATAATTAAAAGCTTTATCATTAAAACCACTAAGTGTCTTGCTGACTGGCATGTGCGATCATGCCTCTCCACAACTTACTATTTATTCCCTAAAGAATGTATCTGTGCGCTGACAACCTTTCACGCCAGGATGACAGGCATTCAAACAATCTTCTCGGGACCTCTTGTATTTCTCTCTTCAAATATTTCCACTTGTCTTAACAACTTGTTACAATTACTACTTAAGTGATTAGGATATTCCTTTGAATATGTTTACTCTAGTTGTTACTTTACACCCTTTAGTTTTACACAGTTATTATCCTAACTGTCTCAACAAAAAGCAACTTGCTATGTTTCTATCTTGTTCCAAATGTTATAAAATTATTTAACTGCCCTCTATTACAGTAAAAGTAAAGGACCGTGTATTGGGTATATAGGACAGGACCTACATTTTATAGACCGATCAGCAATCGGTGTGTGATGTAGTCAGCATCACGCCGGTCGTCTTTACTTCCCATGATTGCACCAGTACCCGCTCAAGGCTGGGTGGACCCCGAAGACCTTTTTTTTGAAAAAAAAATTTATAGCTTAGTCTAGCCGCTACACACGGCGACTCACCCCCTTTCTATTACAGACATAAGGGTGCCCCACAGGTCATGGGACTGTTTAATATTTCAGGGGGGGGGGGGGGTGGTAGATAGGCTGCATGCAGTAGTGGGACCTAGGCTGCTCTTCCTCGAAGGACGGAGGTAGGTTGGGGTTAGGGCCAGTTTTAGATGTTTTGGGGTCGTTAAACGGAACAGAAAGCCGGGAAACCTAGTCTTACCATCCTCTAAAATGTTGGACTGTCGTGTGACGTCATCAGGGTGTAGGATATTAATAAAGCACTGACATGTTTTATGAAAGCTTTGTAACGGATTCAGTACCTCAATATTCCGATACAGGCAGTATCCTTCAACTAATGTCTGTACAAATTAATCTTGGCTTATTTATCTGAATGTATTTGAATTATTATATCAGAAACCATTTCTGAGCTAGGTTTTCACTGCTTTCAAGCTCAACTCCAAGTGACGGAAGGAGCAAAATAACAATTCTTTCTTTAGGACTGACTAAGTTAGAACACTGGCTTAATATTACTTTCAGTGATTTAAACCTAACTATTACTTTGTGTAATGTTGATATTTTCACACGGGGATTCCCTGGGGAAGAATATGAGAGGGGAAATCTCGAGATACGACAGAAAAACGGGATAATGCAAATACTTGTAGAAACACGAGGTACTCGAGCAGGGTAGATGAGCACGTGAAGCCACGTGGAACCCAGCACAAGGCTATAAGATTAGGTTACTTGGGTATCCTATATAGGACGTTGCAGAACCAACCCCAACAGCCCCTGGCCGTTGTGTGGTTTTTCCAGTCAAATTTACGTCCAGTGGTTTGCCATTGCTTTCTGGACTATAAGATTAGACAACGGTCTAATCAGACAGCATGTGTTTGCCAGACGGAGCGAAAGGGTGTATCTGAGATTCAGTGTGAATGTAACAGTGTGTTTAGCGACCTGAGGAGTTCTGAGAGGAGACAAAAAGATGACAGTCTGACGACGATCTGATCCCAAGTGGCATCCAACCAGTTTCCGATTGCTCAAGAAGTCGTACCACCATGCTTAGAACGGCCAGAGCAACCATGGCGTGTATTCTGAATGTGAGGAAGAAGGACTGAGAGCTATTGAGTGCGAAAGAGAGAATACTCCAAGTTGATGTCTGAACAATGTTATATTATAATGCTGGATTTGCTATCTCGTAGTGGACACTAAGTGGACAAATGGTATGGGAATTTGTAATAAGGTATATTATTGAGATATCGTCTTCTCGTACCACCTGTGTCTGCTTAGAGAGTCAATCATGTCTTCATAAAGAACAAACCCCTAGGAAGCAGCTAAGACACGGAGGAGACAATATCACACTTTGAATATTTTTCTTCTATTCACATATGACGGCGTATTAAACATATGTTGCCAGATCTATATATTTTTTATTGTTGAAACGAGGCATGACTCTAAGGGGGTTATGTAGTCAGCATTACGTTAATCGCACTTTTCTCCTAGCACAGTGTTTCCCAAACTTGTCGTAGTCGCGGCGCGACTTTTCCACTGCGCCCTTACCTTAGTAAAAGTATGTCCATTCGTATGTAAGAGATTTAAAAAAAGAAAAACTTGTGTATCTTCGAAATTCGTAGCGCCCCTGTGAAGAAGACACGGCTTTCCGGGGCGCCGCGGTTCACAGTTTGGGAATCACTGTCCTAGCATATTTCTTAGTAACTATTTGTGGCTGGATCAGCATGGAAGCCACGATTAATTTAGGCAAAAAGTAACTGAAGAATGCTGTCTATAGCGGGATGCAGAGCAGCTGAACCACAAATGTATGGTGCACTAGGACCAAGACTTATAGTGATAATTACCTGTCAGCGTCTGTGGCTTTGGCGTTGCGAACGCGCTTCGGAATGTCGGGGTGCCGGGTTCAATCTCAGCTTCGGGTCTTGCTCTTTGCCATGGTTTCGTCAGTGGTATCGAGAAATCGACTGCACAGAAAGCAATGGCAAACTACTGGACATAAATTTGCCTAGAAAACCACAAACAGCCCAAAATGCTGGGATTGGGTTTTGCAACGTCCTGTAAAGGATACGCAACTAACTTTTTAACCTATCCACACTTCCCCTCGGTAATCTTAGCAATAGAATCGCAACGGAAGCCTGGCCATCATAGATAGAACTGAAGTTATCTTCGAAGTCGTACTACATCTTTTTTAGAGGTGATAAATCAACATTCTGCACGCATATGATCCAGATTTAAAAAAATCATAAATTGCATGCAAAGTTAAAGGTTAAAGACGAGAGGATCGACTTTACTGCTCTGAGTTTTATCCCATTTGGCTCGGTCTCTCTCCGCAAAGCGGCTATCCGCCTGCCGAGAGCGCTGCGCAGAGCACGAACTCCGAAGCTCCGGCGACGATCCCATGGATCTCTGTAAAAGTTGCACTAGGGAACTGAAGGGTGGAGCCGTAAAGAACCAAGACCTTCAGAGCGCGAGGCAAACGGCTTAACAACGCAAAACTAGTGGAGCAGGACAAAGTGCACAAATAGACGAACAAAGAGTAATGTCCATTAAAGTTTTCTTCCACTGACACTGCAGTAGAAGAGACAGAAGGTTATTAGTAAACAGATGTAGATTCTTGGCACTCTGCTGACGATGAAGTACCCACCTTATCAGTCAGTGTTGTCGGAGATGAGTAGCCGATTCTAGCTCCCATTGATAGACAGCACACCTCTGGATTTAAAAAGGAGAGGGAAAGGGTATGTTAGATGAAGTGAAAGACAGCGCGCACCAAATCACGTACACGGTCCTCTAACTTATGGTCATATCCAGTGTGCGATGAAGATGATGTCCAACATGAACTGTGAACTATTTGACTAGGTTATGTGTGTCATATAAAATGGCTCAGTATGATATACCTCGAAGAGCCATGGAAAGCACTCCAGTGATGTTGATGCGATCAAAGGAGACAGACCCCAAAAATGTTCCGCATGGCGACGAAATTGTCTACCGGCGAGCCAATAGGCGACCCGGTCGCAGATGCGTTGTCCTGCGCCACTGTGTACAGGCGTGCGCAGAAAAGCACCACAAACAAATGAAACACCCGGTGTGAGTTCTCGGACATCCGAGCAAAAAGATAAGAATAACAGCATCCTCATTGCCAGCGGGCCCAGTTTTGAGTGGCAGGTCCAGTACCACTGTGATGCCAAATGGAGAGGGTAATTCTTAAAGCTGAAGCTTGCTGTTAATCTGATGTCCGAGTTTTAACACATGACCTAACTGACTACTATGTTCCTGCAGCTTGAAATTCCCATCATCGAGGAGGATCCAAGAACTGCCTTATGGAAATCAAATCAATCTTCAATAGCGTTGTTTACACCCCTGGCAGAATCTCATGTTGGTCGAGTTTCAGCTGCGGGGCATGAGTAAATCAGTATGGCCGATCTGGCCACCCCAAGCCAGAATTTGCAGCGATAAGCGTTATCTTTAAGAATCACTTCTTATCCAGTTCAGTGGCTGGTCCTTAATGGGCCGTATTTTTAAATACACAACTTTCGGTGGTTTTTACAAATTCAATATTTAGAGACAAATACATTTATAGAGACAGTTTTTTTTTTTTTTTATAGCTGTAACAGTAGTGGACATGGTATTATTGACAATAGTTCTAGTGCTTTTAGATGTTGTTGTTGTAGCCCTAGTAGTAGTAGTCGTAGTGAAACTACTAGTAGTAGTAGAAGAAGAAGGAGTAGTAGTTGTAGTAGTAGTAGTAGTAGTAGTAGTAGTAGTAGTAGTAGTAGTAGTAGTAGTGGTAGTAGTAGTAATCGTAGTGAAACTACTAGTAGTAGTAGAAGAAGGAGTAGTAGTAGTAGTAGTAGTAGTAGTAGTAGTAGTAGTTGTAGTAGTAGTAGTAGTAGTAGTAGTAGTAGTAGTAGTAGTAGTAGTAGTAGTAGTAGTAGTAGTAGTAGTAGTAGTAGTAGTAGTAGTGGTAGTAGTAGTAGTCGTAGTGAAACTACTAGTCGTAGTAGAAGAAGAAGTAGTAGTAGTAGTAGTAGTAGTAGTAGTAGTAGTAGTAGTAGTAGTAGTAGTAGTAGTAGTAGTAGTAGTAGTAGTAGTAGTAGTAGTAGTAGTGGTAGTAGTAGTAGTCGTAGTGAAACTACTAGTCGTAGTAGAAGAAGAAGAAGTAGTAGTAGTAGTAGTAGTAGTAGTAGTAGTAGTAGTAGTAGTAGTAGTAGTAGTAGTAGTAGTAGTAGTAGTAGTAGTAGTAGTAGTAGTAGTAGTAGTAGTAGTGGTAGTAGTAGTAATCGTAGTGAAACTACTAGTAGTAGTAGAAGAAGGAGTAGTAGTAGTAGTAGTAGTAGTAGTAGTTGTAGTAGTAGTAGTAGTAGTAGTAGTAGTAGTAGTAGTAGTAGTAGTAGTAGTAGTAGTAGTAGTAGTAGTAGTAGTAGTCGTAGTGAAACTACTAGTCGTAGTAGAAGAAGAAGAAGTAGTAGTAGTAGTAGTAGTAGTAGCAGCAGCATAAGTAGTGATGGTGGTGGTTTTGGTTGTGGTGGTGTTAGGTGCTTTAACTCAGTTATTTAGTTAGTTAGTTAGTCTTTCCTCTTGAGCCTCGAGCGGTGCATAAAGCAGAGGTTACAGGTTAAAATGGACGCTAGACAGCGGCGCCGTTCGGAACAGAGGCAAATTTTTTGCTTCTGCCGGACGGTGGCCGATGCATTTTTGTTCCATTTGTAGACTTCTGAGTTGAATGCATTGCGTGACCCTGTGAGCTGCGGATTGCATTTGGAATGTGTTTTTTTTCGACTGTGACCAACGTGGTGGTGTGAATTGTAGATTCAGAAAATGGCGCGATGCCTGTCATTCAATGCTTGCGGGACCCGTATTAAAAATTGATCACGCGGACAACTGCTGATCTGTTGACAAGTTCTGCTATCATCAATGATGAACTGCATTTCTAATGTTGGACTGTTTGTGTTAGCACTTCGGATGGATACCATATGCTTTAATGCGAGTGTATGCTAGATATGCTGAGACAGCAGTCTGTCAATCTTTCCACTGTGATAGACATTCTGAGTGTTTTTCGCTGGCACAGGAGCGGAGCAAAGATGGGGCGACCCGTTTGCTATGAAGCTGAAACTAAGACTACCAGACCAGACCAGACTACCAGAGGTTACAGCTCTCCATGTCTGGCGGTTCGTTGCCGCCTGTTTTAGGCCTTGAATGTTCATTAGGCCCGTGGTTGAGCCTTCCCTGATGAT